TTTTTTTTTTTCCTTCCCCTGTTTATACCGTAGCACTCTCTATTTATAGAGCCTGCTAGTCCAAGAGTCACTTACTCTTCTTAGTTTTAGGGTAGGAATGTTCATGGGTTGTTACTGTCAGCAGTACTAGTACCATGTATGTTAGACACAATTTTATCAGACTAGTTTAGCGTATCCCTGACTTTAAGCATGTGAGTAATCCTGTTGATGTATCTAGGCTTTCTTGAAGCTGATGGGGTTTTCTCATGGGTTGACTGCAGATATGCTTGAGCATTTAAGAGAACTTGAATCAATTTCATTGTTTCCTCTTGTATTCATCTGGCTTTTCTTTGCTGGAAAAGTATTTTGTTTCCAGTTTCATTAAAAACAAAACAAAAAAAACACTTTATTTTTAAAAGAACAAATAGGTGGAAAATATTTTAAGATTATACTATTATAAATTAAAATAGGGCTGTTAAGAGAAAATAAATTAGATAGAAATTTCTAACTTGTTATAAATGTAGAATAGTTTAGTGTTTGAACTATCAACACATTTAGAATATCATCTTGGATCTGGTTCATTTATGGCAAGATGTACTGAAAAAACAGCTTGTTTCTTAGTTCATTAACTTAAAACTTGGGGTTGGATGGTGGGCATCATAAACTGGAATCTTTACCACTAAAAGGTTCTTCAAAATATGTGATTAAGTTTAAATAATAGTAAGTACATTAATCTGTTTTCCAGGATCTCTTTTCAATCAATGCTTATGTTTATGCTCAGAAGCCACAGCTGGATATTCACAGTTTTGAGGGTACCTTCACACGGGTAAGTAGTGTATGTAAATACAGCTCTACTTCTCTCTTCCATTTCTCAATGTAAGTGAAACCTATACTTAGTGTCAAGGTTGTATCAGATCATTCCTTAGCTTTACAGCAGTATTTTTTTCCATGTTCCTGCCATGGTAATAATTCATATAAAAGATAGCCTGGTAAATATGTATTCCAGAAAGCTAGTACAAAAAGAATATCTGAAAAAAGCAGAATCCAAGAATTGGCTATTTGTTGACATCATTATAATCTCTTTATGTGAAACCATTTGTATAGTAGTATATATTGTCTGCGGGCATCTAATGTGTTGTTTCATATATCTGTAAAAAGTGGCAAGTTGAATATGTTCAGTAGTCTGAGACAATGCACCTGCTAGATTATGTGCAATAAAAATGTGCCTTGTTTAACAGCATTTCTGTTCAAGGGAAAGCTAGTACTTCCAAAGTTGTTATCTCAAAAAGTAAAATAAAACTAAAAGCTACTTATGGGGGTTTTACTTAAATCTTTTTTTTCCAGCTATAATTATTTTCAATACCAAATATGATGATAACTGCAATAACTTCTGTGATTTTTTTTTTCTGTTATTTTTAAATGATGGCCTGCTAAAGTTAACCCTTTAAAGCAGGGTGTCCTTCCTAATAGGTAGTAAAAAAATTTTTTTTAAATTGGTTTACAGATTTGTAGTATTGTATTAGCAGATATAGTGATTGTTTTGTTTATTTTAGCTAAACTCAGTGTTAGTAGACTCATTCCTCTTGATAGTTTGTTTCTAAAATAATTTGAGAGAATTTCCTACTATGGAGGTAGAGAGAAAGGTTTTTTACCCAAGTGACTCAAATTGGTAATAGATTTTGTCCAGTAATTGGAATTCCAGTTCACAATTCTAAGTACACTGATGAATGAGATATTGCATTTGTTGGCTCTGCAAGACCAATTTATACCAGTTACATAGTTCATGCTGCCTACAAAGTAAATGTCATTTGCCCATACCTTCTAAAGCTGTAAGCAACAATGTTTACTTAAACCTTGTATTGACCAATTGTCCAAATGAAACTTCTATTAACAGCTGTAAAATTCATGTTATTCCTGTCCCACTGGCTAAATGCATACTTTTCTAAATATAAATTGAAGTCCTCAGAGCCTTTTTAACAGTTCTGGTACGTGTAATTGAGCCATTGGGAAATCATCACTAAACACTTCCTCCCTGTTGTGGGTTCTGTTTGTACATGTAATAAGAGCTGTATAATTCAAGCATCCCTGATATGTGTAAATAACCCTGATATATTTTATGCTTTCATGTTTACATATGTGTTGTTTTGACTGCTTCAGTAGGAAGGGCAGTTTAAACTGAACTTGTGTGTGCATGCATCTGAGGGCAGTGCCCTCAGATTTGGTTCACAGTGGCTCACACTGTAGATATTTTTAGAAGATTTTTTTTTTTTGTTAACGGTGTACCTTCTGCACAGTGAAATGTTGCTTTAGGACACTTGTTTACTGATTTATGTTTCTACTTCTGCTGTGAGCCCTTGCTTCTTACACTAAATCAGTTTTTGCATCTAATTTCTATTTTATGTTCAAGTAAAAAAAAATCAGTGTGCTTAGTGATGCTAATGCATACATTTTTCCTACTTAAGCATTGATGTTCAAAGAATTCTTGCAAGGGTAGGTTGACAGGGTAATAGCACATTGATTTTTCTTTTCTTTTTTTTTCCCCATTATGAAGACAGAGTACTAACAATGTAGAAGACAAACTTAGATAATTTCAAAAAGTGCATGACCATAAAACAAAACAAACTTAGGTGCACAGCTCTGGAGATTTTATGAGGGAACAACTTCTCTTAAGTACTTCTATGTGAGAAATATATCCACAGCAAACCTGATAGCAGACAGAAGATACCATTTGCAGTACACCTGCATAACCATGTCAGGAGGAGTTAAAGCTCTGCTGTACTCTTATTGATGTCTGCCAGCTTCACATGAAGTCATTTTTCCATTGTCCTTCATGGATTTTGCTGCGTTATATGCAGTTAATGCATAGAAGTGAGTGTGTCCCCTTGTGTAGGCATGCAGGAAGGATCATGTCTGGCCCTTAAATAATGGCATAAGTTAATTTCTCTCCTCCTCTCCCCTCTTCTGGACATCCTACCAAGAAAGACTAGATGAGCTAAATTAGTGTTCTGTGAAAATGTGTGAGATTGTTTTATTTGTTCTCAGGGCATCATCCGTGTCTTGGCTGAGCTTATTTTGAAATAGTGATGGACAGAACAGGGATTTACACAGATGTAACTACTACAGTTTTTCTTCTGTCTGATGCTCCTGTGTAGGCTTGATAAATTAGGAAGCTATTTCATCAGTTCTGAAAAAGCATGAGAAAAACAAATCTGTAGAAAGAGAATAAAAGGTAGCATGCTTCTTAACCGAACTTTTACCAGTTGGAGCCCAAAGAGTACTGTAGAGCATTACATCAGTGTGTACTGGCATGACCAGTATTATTTACCTTTTGCTTACAGCTTCTGTGCAGAATCATGGAAATTCTCTCTTCTGCTTTTGACCTTGGCTGGGTTTTGTTTACATTTCGGTCCTTCTTCCACCATTCCCTTACAAATCTTTTCCTTTAATTTCTCCTATATTGCAGCTCTGTGCTGTCACCTCAGTCTCTTCATTTACTTTGGGAATATATCGAAATCGGGTTTTTTTTATTATTATTATTTTTATTCCAGTAGAAATCTCAGAGAACGAATTCCTTTAAGTTTAGTTCATCTGCTGTAATAAACTTTTTTTTTCTATGGTACAGAACTATTTGGTATGATTTTTTTCCAATATAGCACTGTCAGATGTTTTAAAAAACTACCTTGATGCAAAACCTGTTGCATGTAGCTGTTGATACTTTGGAAAAACACATATTGAGATGTGAGCACTGAAAATTGTGTATTAATTTGAGTAGAATCTCTGGCCTGGGGCTAAATTAACAGATGATTTCTTGGATAAGTCTTAGGTTTTAGCAGAGAGAATGTTGAGTCATTTTTTTACTTCATATTTGCTGTTGGAGAATTACCTGTTTTGAAGCAATGGTTGTGTTCAATCTGGCTTAATTTTATGTTGCTACTGAAGGGAATGGTATTATGTTTTGCAACTTCTTTTTACTCACCTTCCTTATCCTGTCACTAACAGCGATACGGACAGCCAGACTAGGGAGCTAACGTGTGCAGAACCTAATCTGACCCTGTCCAAAATACATGCACCAGTAAAAGGAACATAGCGAGAATAATTAACTGTGGGATTGGGGTGGGGAAGGAATCTCTTTCAGTGATGCAACTAAACTAATGCGTATTCTTCCACTTTCCTGCAAAAGTTGGTGGGGATGGTTGTGCTGCATCCTGTCAGGTTGGAATAGGGCTAGAAAAGTTCAAATGGAAGTGGTACACTGGTTCATTCAAGGATTAGGTATTTAGTCTCAAAGGCCTCTGTCATTATCTGAAAAAAATTCTAGTAAATTGTAGCTTTGAAACTTTTTTGAATGGCTCCTTGAAATCTGTCGTGATCCTTGGTCAGCAGTATTAGGAATTCAGGACTGAGAGTAGGATATATTCAATTTTTATTTCACTGATCATCTGTTCCTTTGTCTCTGCACATGCAAGAGCTACAGACTAATTTCCTAGAATAGGAACTGCAGACGGTTTAAACCTCTATGATCAATACTGCACATGACTTCAAAAACTCAGCCTGAGTATGAAGCTTGAATGCAATACTGAACTGCACTATGCTGGTAATGAACTTAATTCAGAATTTAAAGACCAATAAACATGCAGCTGCTAAAAGAAATTCAACCCAGCAGACCTTAAGTGGAAACTTCATCAACTGGACAAAGAAGCCCTTGTATGTAAAATTTTTGCTACTAGAATGAGTGATGGATTTCATTTACCCCAAAACGTATATTGTTCTGTTAGCTGTAGTAGCGTCACAAAATTTGCAGAACCATTTCTCCTTACCACAGACCTGTCTTGTTCAGGATTTGCAGTCCTTGTCCCTTCCATGCTTCATCTATCTCTACCATCTCTCTGAAAGCAGAAATAAAAATAATGTGAAACATCTAAACTCTTGTTTAAACATCATCTTCTTGTAGTATGGAAGAGGTTCATAAGTCACTGTCTTAAAATCTGCTAACTGAAGAATAAACTAAGGCAGAAAAAAAAAAAAATCTCCTAGCTTAGTATCCTATTCCTGACAATAGCCAGAAGCAGACTGCTGGGAAAGAGAATGAGACTAGAGTAAGGAGATGGTAATGCCTCCTCGGAAGATTCTTCTCTCTTAACAGCTCGTGATGTGGGAACTTCCTGAATCAGAGCTGGTTTCTGTAAGTAACGTGCAGTGAATTTTCCTTCTTTAAACTTACCCAGTCCCTTCTTGAACCTATGTAACCTTTTAGCATTCAAATAGGAGGAAGTTGTACAGGTTAATTACATATTTTTATGAAGAGCAATTACCAGTTGTTTTAATTTTATTGTCTTTATTTATGACTTCTTTCTTCTTTGGTAAGAGACAGCAGTATCTATCCTCCCTTTCTAAGTGCCCATTTCATAGATGTCTGTCATGTTGAAGATGTCATAGTTGAAGATGTCCCTGCCCATTGCAGGGGGGTTGGACTAGATGACCTTTAAAGGTCCCTTCCATCCCAAAGCATTCTATGATTCTATGTTCCTCATTAGAGTTCAGGTTTACTTACTCATATCTAGCATGGAAGCTACATTGACTGCCCTTGTTGCCCTTTTTGAACATTTTCCAGTTCTTCTTATTTTCTGTTTGGACTAAGGGGAGGGGAGGAGGGATTTAGAACTACATATTTAAGACTAGGGCAAACCATGGATTTCTTTGTAGTAGGATGATTTGTTGTTGTTCTTTTTTTCTCTCCTATTAATTCTAAGCACTTAGCCTGTTCTTGACTATTAAGTTAGTGTTTTGGTAGATTTGTAATAATCCCAAAATGTGTTTTCTGAGTAGTTTTGACAATTTCTGAGTAGTTTTGATCAGCTCAGAGCTCCTCACTTTGTGAAGTTGGAATGTTTTCTTCCTTTGTGTGCATCATTCTGCATTTCACTGTATGGAATTTCATCTGTCCACTTTTTTGTAGGATATATTAATCTGCAGTATTACCCAACTATTAAATCATAGGCATTTTTTCTATAGCTATTTTGTTCTGAAGTCTTACTTTAGTCTTATCTAAAGTTACAGTTATAAAGGTGTGCAAAGATATAGCAGCGAATATTTCTTTGAATTCTACAGCTTTTCTGTATCTCTAATTCTGTACACTATTTGTGCTAATGGCTAGTTAAAACACAATGCGCCAGTCAAAATTCAAATTCTTTCTTCATGCTGGAATTCAACATAATGCAAAAATGACAACCTCAGTGTGACTGCAGTTTTAATAAGTTGCAGATGGGAAATTATCTCTTTCAGTGTTTGGGGGGAGCTATTTGGAGTCCCACTGTGGACAACAGGTATTCTGTATGGAACTTTTGAGGGCAAAACCCAAACTTTTTCATTTGTTGCGACTGAATTCATCGCAAGTATGATATTCACATCTGTGTCCTATCACTCTATGTTGATGACTGTAAAAGACTGACCCATTCATTTCCATGAGGTTGCAGTGTTCAACTGAAATATGGGATCTTTGTGGTCAGCTCTGTTAGTATGCATCCTCCTATTATATGCCTGCTGGGCACTGCTCTGACAACCTGTAGCATGATTTGCTCTTTGAGGTACAGTAGTGAGTTCTTATAAAGAAAAGCATTTTCCTTGTACCCTATACATTGTTTTCAGTTGACCTAGTGATGCAGTGAGAAACTCCACAAATTTCTTGTTCAGAATACTTGAGCAGGATTTCCTTTTTTTGCAGTGTATGATGGAAGATACAATTTTAAAAATAAAGCAAGTTGAAACAGTTTGAACTATGCAGAATAGTTTGTGGATGATAAAAAGTAATCAAGGTTAGCATGTGTGTTGCTGACTGAGAACAATCTGTGCATCTGATGGCAAGTTGTGTGAAATTAAGAATCCTGTTTGGTGCCAGGCCCACTGGGTTGAAAGTGGCAGCCTTACACTCTTGTCACAAATAGCTAATCAGCATTGTCTATATGAAAGTATAAAAGAATTTCAGGAAAGTTGTCCTGTTAGATTCAGCAATTCTTGAAAAGCCCGTGATAGGAATGAAAAAATTCAGTATCTGTTTTCAACTCGCATATGGCCAGTTCATGTCCTATTTCTAGCCTTGTAGAAACAGATTCTGAAACCTCTAAATAAGTTCCATGTGGAAACTTACCACTGGACATGGTCATATTTCAACATTATAGGTGTAGATGGCAATCTCTCCACTGACTGCCATGCTCCAAACACCTGCAATTAGTATTTTGACTATATTACTAGCATCTTCCTCTGGAAAAACTAGTATTCTTGGATAATTTCCACTTAGACTTATATGTCTATACATTGCTTAATTAGGCTTTCAGAAGGCCGAAATAATCACAGAACCTGAATAACTGAGGAACGATCGTAAATCAAACCAGGAATCTAAGCATTATGAAGTTAGGAAAAAGTATCCAAAAATTTAGGCTGTGGATGAGCCCTATCAAAGGCACTCATCTTGGAAATAAGTTACTGAGTGTTACAAAAATGATTGATAATTGCCACAAATGATACTTTTTTGAGCTAGATCAGAATACTCTTCTTGTTATTTAATCTTTTAGTGATCAAGACTTCATGTGTTACTAATACTACCAATTATTTTGAATATTGCTATAGCTGCTGATCCTGTTTTACCTTCAGAGATGTATTTTTAGTTCTCTACAGCTGAACATTCCTTGGCCTATCAATACGAAGTACTTCTGCTGTTATGTAGCAATATCTTGGAATTCACTTCTGCTCTTTGTAGCATTCCCCAACTACTGAAAATTCCTACATAATATCACGTTACTCCATTAGAGTAGGCTTGTGGTTGCTGTTGTCTCAAACCTAACGTATTTTAGTTGCTAGGAGTATAGCAAATAATTCTTGCAATATTAATTCCTTAGGTATGAATCAAAAAATATTTCCCCTTTTTCGTAACGAAAGGCTAAACTGATAGAACATTGATGATTCTTGACAGAATTTTTACTTCTTGTATGAGTCTTCATTCAAAAGTATGAGTCTTTTCTTCATATAGCTAATTCCATATCGTTCCTCTCTTCCCCTTTGTTTTTGACAGAATGGTTCTCTATGCCTTTTAAACAATGATTTTGCTTCACTTAAGAGAGTAAGAGCTATAGTTTTCTTGCTACGTAGGGATCTTTTGAAGTACACACAAAAATGTATCTGTTTAGTTTGAGACTTTTCATTTTTATGAACAGAGATTTCTAAGCATCTCATCCTGTGGTTCATGAAAAATGGATATAGGTTTTGATTATTGACATTATGTAGAATTTATTGTGTACTTAGGTAAATCAGTGGTCCCCCTTTTCCTGCAAAATGCTTAGCACAATCTGTAATTCGATCAAATACACTTGATTATCCTACCTCCTAAAGTTTCCTTTAGTTGTAAACAGCACATTTCACAGCTGCTAATGAGTAACAAATCTGTACATGCTCCAAATTGATTATGAGAGATTAAGTCTGTTTGCAATCTGTGGACCATTATTGTTTGGGAGGAGAGAGGGGAGGAAAAAAAAGGAAAGTTTAAAATAATGGAAGCAATTTCCCATTGGATATGTATCTTGCATGTGGTAAGACAACACAAGTGTGCATTTCTTTTTAGAAGTCTGAATATTCTTCCCTGAAGTTGATATGATGTCACTTGGGTTGCAAAATGATGATGACCATAACTTTTTGTATGAATTATAGATGATTTAAATTGTCATAGGGAACAGTGTATTAAATTTTGGTGGTTAGTGTTGATAACTCACTTTTAACTGATTGGTATAGCAAACTGTTCTGCAATTTGATACATCTGAGGAAAAGAATATGTTCCTTTTAAAACACTATAGACTTTAGTTCTTTGAATATAATTGGGTTTAAGTAATATGAACTTCAAGCAGTATTTCACTTTTTGGAAAGTTATTTTTGTGTGTGCGCACAGACAAATAAAGTATGTGCAATGAATACTATTGTACAATGATTGATACAAGGATGTCTGCATCCTGTGCAAGTTATTCTTATTCAGATGGTTTGGCATTGTTCTTACCTATGACTATTTGTGATGTTGATTTACTTATTAGCTGTTCATATTTTTAACAGGAAGACAGTGATCCAGCAGTTCATGAAAGCCTAAGCATAGAAAATACATTATGGGCAAGCACTGTTGTTGCTTCAGGTAAGTGTTGCAATAGCAAAGCTGATAATGTATCCAAAAACTTTTCTGTGGAAACGTATCTTTATTTTTACAATGTGAAATATAAATGGCTTTTGAAAATCTTTGTCTTCCAGGCTATTAATCTCTTTCTCCTGTGTTGTCTGCCTTCCCATTGGTTTCATCATGCTACTCACAATATCTTCATACCTTTTTAATCCGCCTTAGTATTTTTTTTACTTAAATTTTGCTGTTTCAGTAGTGCTGTCCGTTGTACCACACTAAAGTCACTGACCTTTTTGTTTTAATTAAGACTTCAGGTTGTAAAGTGCCCTGTTCACCTCACTGTGGATAGGGTCCTGCTGAAAAGTAAGGGTGGTTTTGTATTTTTTTAGTTCTATGTATACTCCATGCTGTGGGTAAAGTTTGCTTAAAATCTTCTATCAGGCAAAATCTTAGTAAGAAAGTATAGATCAGTTATACAGTCATGTAATTTTAAAATAATGGGATCTAAATATTGGTAATGTTTCATATGTGTCTCAGATATTATAAGGAGTTCACATTATCTAGATGCTGTGTTCAGGCTTTAAGCCATTTTTAAGTGCAGAAAATTATTCTGGTTTTGCTCTATGTAAGAAAAGTCAAAAGGACTGTAGAAAAAAGGGCTGTGGTTATTCTTCTGCACAAAAAGACTGAGAATAAGGAATCGGGAGAGCATGATTTCTGAAAAGGAGTTAGGATTTAAAACAGGGAATTGGAACAACTGGAAGTATGAGCCAAGAGGAGGAGGGGTATGGAGGGAGGGGAAGAAAGTAAAAAAGGGTCTCCACCTAACTTGTAAAGTTCATTTCTACTATGAAGGCTTCTTACATCAGTGAGGGGCCTGCTGGAAGGTTGTGGGGGAGAGATCACGTTTGAGGAGGTGGCAAAGGAGTCTGACTGAGCGCTCCTTTCCAGAGTCTGAAAAGATAGTCATGTTCTTTGATGCTCAGTAGTTTTGGGTTTGATTGCACGGAGAAACTATTCTCTCTATAACTGTTCTGTCAAATGGACGATGCCTAAAATTGTCCACAGTTAGGTTTTTTAACTTAAGTAGCCAAGATCTGTAACTGTGTGTAAAAAGATGCTGCTCATGAATTATAGATTTCAATACTGTGTAAATTTGTTTTGAGTTTGCTTTTCCCCAAATTTATATATGGGGAAAACTACACTCAAAGAGTATACATTTGCAGTCAGTAATTCTGAATTAGTAATTTTGAATTTTAATTGAAAACCATTCATGTTTTTGTTTCCAGGGTAGATGATTTGATTTTGTTTAGAAGTGTAGCTAATGTTTGAGGCCTCTTGATCTGCCATCTAAGGTTGGCACCCAAATTAATGGAAACAAAGTGTCTTAAAATTTATGCCTTAGCATATGGGTTTTTTTTTACTTCTGAGGGGTCTTGTGAAGGTTTAATTGTTTATGAAGGACTTAGGTTCATTATTAATGATGGTAGTAGAAAAACACAGGAGAAGATAATTCTCTTGTTGGAGCATGGTTTTGAATAGTGGAGTAAGACTCTAAGCGAGACTCAGGGCAACTCGCTGAATGATACAAAGTAAAAACACTGAATGGCTCTTCAAGACAGCAGCCCCTTCTGAAGGGAAAAATAACATGATCAAGTACTTAAAAATGGTGTCACTATGTGCATACAGAAGTTGGTTGTATTAAGGTAGCAAAGAGAAATAATTTCCTTGATGTTGTGACATATAATTATATCTTCTTAATCTAAACTTTGGCATATCATTAATTTCACCTACATCATCTCGTGTATTAACTACAATTTAATATTGTGATAATGTGCTCCTCTCCTGTAAGTAATGCAGTTATCAAGCATATAAGATTTCTATTTGGATATTTGTTCTGTATGGCATCATAAATCCAGATTTCAAGAATTGCTCAGCACCTCTGTGGAGGTAATTTTAGCATTTAACAGGATTAGGCCTTTAACGAAGAGCAGGAAATTATTGCCTTCGGTCTGTTCTTATCTAATAAGGGATTTATAAGGTACTATAGGTGCACTTATAGTCATGAAGACCATAAAGCAAAACAATTAGCGGATTGTTAAAATTAAGATGTTTGAGATTTGGTTGATAACTGATGTGTCATTCAGTTGTTTTCATCTCACTTCCAAGTTGAATGTACGTAGCTAAGTTAGGATACTTGATGCTAAGCTAATTAATTTTGATTTTTTAATAGTGTTTTTTTTAAATTAGGCTTCATAATTGAATTTCTAAGATTTGTGACAACTTAAAATCTTGTTAATAAAAACACTTTTCACTGTCTGACTGCATTATAAACACATATAAACTGTCTACATACATTCCCCTACCATGGGCTGTCACAGTTCTTGATTATATCTGAAAAATTTAGTGGAAGATTATGCTTGTACACAACCTCTACAGACAAGTGCCACTCAGATTCCATAAAAACAGAAGAATAAACAGCCCATAGCATGTGAAAGTCTACTGTTTTTCTATGCTGTAGATAGCTACCTCACCTCAACCACACTTGTATCTTACTTCAGTCTCCTTACTGTCTAGGCTCACAGTTCTGTTACATGCAGGTGTTTTTCACCCCAAAGTATACAACGTCTATGTGCAAGCCTAATATTCTATTACTTTGCTGCTTTGATTCAAGAAAGTGGGTTTGTGCCCAGATGGTAGGGGGTAGAGTTCTGCCCTGCAACATTGCCTGTACATCTCTTCATTTACCTCAAGACTCTTCAGTATGGCAGTCTTTAAGGCATCCTAGCTTGGAAGGCTGCTTCCTCCAGTGCTCTTAAAGCAGCCCGGACATCATCTGTTACTAAGCCAAGCAAATGTGTGAACCATTGCTCTTGGGACTATGTTATGCCCTTGCCAACCCCTTGGAGGTTGTTACAAAGCATTTTAGGTCAATCTGTACTGTTATCTTGACCTATTACTGACTGATGCTGTCAGTCTCAGGGGGGGAGACAGGGAGCTACATCACTGATGCCCAGGAAAAGAATATGTAGCTGAGTTGCAGATACAAAGCCTTATTTTATTTTAAAAAAGGTTTTGCATAGGACATACAGGACAATTGTTGGGCGAGGGGGTTCTGCTTCCCATTTTCCTCCTTCCAGTAATTAAATATATGCTGAATTTCCTGATATTCCCTTTGACATATTACATAAAACACGTTGCATCAGCTAGGGGAGCTAGGAGAGCCCACTATCTCCAAGACACATGCTGTTGCTATTTGTCAAGGTGATATAGCAGGTCAAGGTCAGACTAGGAAAAGCGTTTGGGGAATTATGTGGGGAATACCTCAGAAAACTTGAGCTCTGGTTGCTGATGTCCTGACAGTTCTAGAGGAGAGAGACCACAAATCAATCATCTTGCAGATCAGTAACAGTAGATGTAAGTGTATAAAGGTTTCAAGGAATCTTATCAACTACATGTTGAATGCAGATTACCAAAGCTCATGAAAATATCAGGATACTACAATAATGGATTCTACAGAAAAAAAAAAAGCCTATTGCTAGAACACTGCAAGTGACAAGAACAAATACTTGCTATAATTTAAGAGAATTTTTATTTTCTTTTTGAATTTTGGGAACCAAAAAATTGGTTCAACAAAATCATGTAGTATCAAACAACTCAAGAATAAACTATTCCACAGCCTTTTTATATCAACAAATGAAGTTCAGGAGAGTGAGATTCCTCAAATTTGTACATTTGGAAGGTGTTTAATTTCCTTGGTTTCAGTATGTCTCCTTACCCCTTAGAATAACAGTAAGCTAAATGGGAAAAAAAAAAAAAAATCACCATTTTGTCACACCTAATATATATTATATACCTAGATGTTCTAGTCTCAGAATTGATAGTTTAGATATCTAAATGGAGATTCCTACTGCTACCAAATCTGAAGTGCTTTCTGCTCCTTGCTGTAAAGCCCTGACAGAGATCTGGTGACTCTGTGCATGATGTTTATCCTAACCACAGAAAGTAAAAAGACTGATTTGCCAGGATCACACTGGAAGCCTCTGGCAGGAGTGGAAATCAAAAGCCCCTCTCTCAAGTCCAAAGTATGTGGCTATCCTTTTGTTATTCTTTAATAAGTGAGAGGGGAAAAAATATTCTGACTTTTTCCACTTGCAGGCAACATCCCAGTGAGTTTCAAAAAGGTAGCAGCAAGGTACGGGGTCTATGTGCCATTCTTAATATCTATGTTATTGCTGTGGAATTAATAATAGTGCCTGAAGGAAAGGAAGTTTTGGTTAGTGAAAACTTGAAAAACTGCTACCACTGAAGAAACAACTTTAAATATAACCAAATAATTTAAACCACTAAGTATTGAGAAAATCTCTTAGGTTATCTTTAATTAAATTACTTATTTTTCAGATAATTTGTGTTCGTGATGTCACTGACTGCAGTGTTTGTGTTTGTTGAAAGCTTTGGTAGATTTCCTTTTGGAAAAGGAGAGACGAAAGTCAGCAGTTACATTTTAAAAAGCCTCAAAAGGTCCACTACAGTATGGACTTTAACTCTTTGCTGTCCAGTTACTGTAATGATCAGTGTGGTTCAAACTTTGAACAAGATAATGCAGTTTTCTGAGAGACCTGCTGAGATATCTGTTAAGAGGAGATTTGTATTAATGTAATTTTGTGATCATTTTGGCAGGTGTCAGTCTTGCAAAGTCATTTTAGATAAAATCAGAACAATTTGTATAACTGCACAGCTGTAAAAAGCACTATTTAGTGCCAAGTCCTACACACGATTTTAATTAATTTGAGCACTCTTTTGTTTTTCTATGGTTCACATAGTGCTTGGGAGACACCAAAAGTTACTATGATCACACATTGGATTTGGAATATGTCTGACTATTTGTGTGTATTAATTCTGCACAAGTCCTCTTTTCTCTCTTTTCCAGGCCCACATGTTCATTCTAGTGGTATCTCCTGTAACTTATCTCTTCTTCATTAACCGCTCTGCTGTTACAAATCAGTGATTGCCCAGTTTACATGAGAGCCAGTTTGCATAGAGGCCCATACAGAAAAATACTTGAGTCATTGCTTTTAGTAAGCCCAGGCTTGTAGTACAGTTATGCTTCCAGGAACCTCAAATTGGATTCAGTTCTTTCTGGTGTGGGCCAGCATGGAGTTCAGTGCCAAGTATGCATCTTTCTTCACAGCTGGTATTAAGCTTAGATTTGCTGAGGATAGTGGGTAAAAAAACCTCTCCAGAACACCGGAACTGTCCCTGGTGCAACCACTGTGGGACAACACTTAAGTTAGGCTTGGAGTTCCCTA